CTGTAGAGAATACTGGCCTCTCAGTGTGGCAGACAGGCCTGTGTAAATGAGTAAATTAAATTGCAGCACCCTGGGTCTCAGAACTCTCTGTTGTTTTTTAACTCCCCTCTGGGAGGAGGAAATGAATGTGCTAACATTCCCCATAGGGAAACTAAATGATTTCTCAGAAGCCTATGCTCTATTTGTTTAAATGAGTTTAGGGCACTGAGCAAATGTGAGCATGACAGGGCCTATTTGAAAGAGGCCTCCCTCAGAACTGACAAGGGTTGTGCCAACTTCTTTGTCTGCATGCCATTCCTCAGCCCTGGGGAGAAATGAGCTCAAAGCCAATTAGCCCATTAGCCACCAACCATGTGCACAGGAGCAGTGTGAGTATCACTGGGGAAGTGGTCTCTTCATTAGGTGTTTGTGGAATGCCTGTCGTGTGTGGCGCATTGAGTGCAGCTCTTACAATCTATTAGAAAAGGAAGTCCACCATGTTGTATACAGTGACTGGCTCATGGGAGTGTGTGCCCATAATCTTAGCACTTAGAAGGTTGAGGCAGGAGGATTTCAATGAGTTTACAGGCCTAGTCAGTAAATTCCTGGGCTACACAGGGACACCTTGTGTCTTTACTCTCTTTTTGTTCCTGTGATAAATCATCACGACCAAAAGCAGCTTCTGGAAGAGTTTATCCACATAATATTAAGCAAGTGTTATGTGGCTTATGATTTCATAATGACTAGAATGTGGCAGGCATGGCAGCAGGAGCAGGAAGCTGAGACCACATCTTTTAACAGCATGAAGCCCATTGTGAACTGGAAATGGATGAAGGTTTATATTCTCAAATCCTTCCAATGACACACTTCTGTCAAGACTGCACCTTCCCATAAGCTCTCCAAGAGTATACCAATCCTGATGACCACGTGTTCAAATGCTTGAAACAATGAGGGCATTTCTCATTCAAACCACCACACACTGTCAAAAAAAAGAAAAAAGAAAAAAAAAAAAAGTCACACGCACTCCAGGCTCCAAGGAGCCAGGTGTTTGGTTTGAGAGTTCTGTTATAACAGCACTGGCTTTATTGTGCTGGACTATTGGTGATCCTAGAAGACTCACTCTGGAGGTTGGGGAACTCTAGGAAATTCTCTGTTCTAGAGAGGCTGTATATAAGAAGAGAGAGCATGGGCACAGTATGGGCTTTGTACTTTGTTAAGTGTCAGATAGACAGAAGAGTGCCATATTACAGCGAGGCTGGAAGGATACTTTGCTACATGGCTGTCCACTACTTGACAACAAAAGTGATCTACAGAGGTATAGCCCAATCTCTAGTCAACCCCTTTCTCAAGAGATGGGACAAAGCCAATGTAGGTAATTTTCTTGAGTGTTCCACGCACTACTAAAGATAGTGTTTGAATCTGTTGGGTACCAGGAATGGTTTTAATGATCATAGGAGATACTGGAACAAAGACACCTAGACTCATAATGTCAAAATGTCACCATGAAGCTACCATGCTGGGGGCAAGCCTGACAATCAGACAGCAAAGAGTGGGAGGGAATGACCAGAGCTACCACCACTGTGAAGGTATGACCCAAGCTAGGCATTAAGTTTGTGATTATTAATTCCAGATATGTTTTCCTATTGTTTAAGCCAGGCTGTGTTGGCCTTTTTGGCTACTTGCAAATGGAAACATCCCTGTTGATTCACAGCTTCAAGCAAACTTAGCAAAACCACTACAGAGGTACAGGTAACAGGCCAGGACCTTTCTGAGCTAGAATGCTGAATTACAAATAATGTGCTACATTCTACTGAAAAGGAGGGAGAAATTTACTCAGGCTTTCTCATTTCTTTGTAGTCTGGCTTAATCTTGCACTTACATGAAAAGGCTTACTAAAGGATGATCACCCCATAAACCAGGCCCCGTCATTCTTGTGGTCCCAATGCTTGGGAGGTGGACCCAGGAGGGTAAGAAATTTAAGATAACCCTCCTTGAGAGTTATACGTTCAAAATCAGAATGGGCCGCATGAGACCTTATCTCAACACTAATACTTATAAATAGAAGTAGAAAACACACATTCTGGTTGCAAGGCATATAGCAAGGACTACTCATGAAAGTCCAGAGGGTATCAAGGACACCCCTCAAAAGCCAGAGGACAGCTTAATATCCATGAAAACCAGCCTTTCTTGTTTTCTACTTTTGGAGAGTTCCAGACTCACTTAAATATAGTCAGCCTTTGTTATCTTACAATGCAAGGTCCTAAAGTTTAGACTTTATTAAGTGACCATGTGACATTTTATATTCATACCACGTTTCATTTTATTCATTCTTTATAGTGTCCCATTGGCAGAAAGATAGTGCAAGTGTTATCAGACCCGTTTTACTGATGGAAAATGGAGTTTCAAAAAGGTTACGGAAAGACTAAGTTTGAAGCAATAGGGTTGAATGTGGGCCTTCTGAATCAGATTCTAACCATTTGAGACATTGTCCTGTATACTACACTCTACCCCTGACAGCATTCATTTAAAGATTTTGTATATGTGCTTGCTGTTCACAAATGTTGGGTTTGAAAGATTTGCTGTCAAGTGAAAAGAATGCAGTCTTAGAACAGGAAACTTAAGGATGAGACAAACATCTGGTTTCACTGATCTGGGCCAGCCATGGGTTCTAGAGCTGGATAAGACACAGTCAAAACAATGAAACTCTATCTTAGAAGACAGATGGGTGACATCAGTAGACTTTTGTAACCACTAGCTCTGAATACCAGGTTGGTTTAGAACTAAGAAACTCCTTGCCCCATTCTCTTGAGAATTTGTCTACCAACACAGACTGCCATGGACAAATAAATATGACAACAGGTTTTGTGACCTACCTTTCTAGCCCTGCTTCAGGCATAGGTCAGTGTGATGGATACTGCCTTAGATGGATGAGGAAGAGGAGGATGGACTTTGAGAATTCTGCTGGGGTAAGAGGGTAGGTACATCTAGTCATGGCAGTGCCTTTCTCTTGGAATAAGGAATTTATTGTGGTTTTTGTCTTGCTGAAGTCATGTTCTTTAGGTTTATAAGTGTGCAGGCATGTTACACACATACATGTATTGTACAATCCATCACAGCTTTCCTCTCATCAATTTGCCTCCTCTACTCTCAAGACACCTTTCTTAGGATGCTCTGCTGACCCAGGGTGCACCCAGTTCCAAGGGCACACCCACCCAAACACTGCCCACCTTCTGCCTAGCTGGGACACAGTAAGATGTATGGGAAACCCAGTCCTCCACCCACAGTGTCTCTGACAGAGATGCCAGTACTGCAGAGAGGGTATCCCAGTCATAGTGAATCACTTGTAATCTAGCTCTCCAAAGGTAAATCCTGAACTCAAGGCCAACCTGGACTACTTAGGAAAAATATGTCTCAAAAGAGGGAAAAAAGTGTTATCCAAATCACCCACTTTTCAGAAGAGGAAACCAAGGTCCAGCCAAGGCTGTGACAGTGTAGAGACATAACCAGGAAGCTCCTGAGATCCTTTGCCCAGTTCCCTGGGACGTCACATTCTATGACAAAGTTGAGTTTGACAGAGGTCGGGTCTGGAACCCACTGACCCTTTAGTCTCCTGTGCCAGATGGTTGCTCCTGTAGCCTCCTATTCAGCCCGATTCCCGAGGCACTTTCACTTCTGAGTAGTCATGCTTATGCTGAGTTAGTAAGTGGGACGGAGACTTTAGCCAACAGAGGTCAGTCTGCCTGTGGTGGTTGCAGAGGTGTGAGTAAGATGGTACCCTAGGTCTGGAACCTTGAGGGGCAGGAGAAATACTTCTTTCTCAGATGGAGAGACAGACTAGAATGAAACTGGCAGCTCTCTCCTGTCTCAGTCTCCCAAGTATCTGTTTCCCTCCTATTGTTGTATTCTGTTCAGTAAGCCTAGAATTAAAGAATCAAATAGAATCTAAAATTAATCCAGAGTCAGGAGAGTGTCGGAAACATTCTGCTTCCCCCAATCTATTAGTACTCCCTTCTCCCCTCCCCCCCACCCCTCTCCTTAACCTGCCACTTTCAGGCCTGGGCTGATGCTTTCCGGCAGCACCTTAGGCTGTGGCCTATTTTTCACAATTTAACCCTCAGTGTACCCTCAGGCAGGGGGTGAAGAAGTGAGTGGCTGCTGTTTTTGGTCAGTACTGGGGATCAGAACTAAGGTCTCAACCTCTGCTGCTAGGCTTCTTTTCCAGCCGCCACTCCTCCTGCCTCATATTTCCACTTCATATTTTGAGATAATATCATACTTCAGTGCTTAGACTGGCATTGAACTTGTTTTGTGTGTCCTCCCCCCCCCAAACCGGCCTTGAATTTACAGTACTCCGGTTTCAGCCTTCCAAGCCTCTGGGATTACAGGCTTGCACCACCAGGCCCGGCTTCCGAAGTGGCAAAATTCTAACTGAAATTGTTGAGCAGCTCTTGGTTCCAGTCTGGAAGACCAGCGGGGTGATGGTAAGACCCTTGTAACCCCTCTAGGCCGCTAGTTTGACCCTTGAATCAAGAAATCCAACCTTTTGCAGGAGCAGAAGTACTGGCGACATTACTGGTATGAGGTAGCAGCAGCAAAGAAGAGAAGAATGCAGAAGGCAAACAGAATGCAGGTAGTGAAAGCGGGAACCGAGCAGATAGTGCAAGACGGGAAAAAAACATGAGGAAGAGAGAGAAAAGCTGAGCAGACGGGAGCCCTGAGTGGGGTGTGATGAAGTGAGCGAAGAAACTGCGAAGCCTGACTGTGGGCACAGAGGAGCCAGGAGGTCAGAGCAACCCCAGCTGTCAGCCGGGAACAAAGGCCGAGGAGAGAGCAGGACGGGGCGCCGGCAGCACGGGCCAATGAGTGGCTCCGACGCTGGTCCCGCCCCTCCCGTGCCCCGCCCCGCCCCGCCCCGCCCCGCCCCGCCCCGCCCCGCCCGCGGCTGAGGACCTGGCTCAGCGGCCAGCGCGCCCGAGCAGGCTGGCGGGAGCCGGGTAACTACGACAGGGTTCCAGTCCGAAAGTTTCCCTGCCCTTCTGCTGCTCCCAGGCGGGACTTGAGAGCTGGGTCCAGCAGCTCTACAGAAAAGGAGACAGGGACACAAGACAAAATACACCGAAAAATCAAAATCTGCAGCCATTTGCAGCTAGCCCCGAGGTGCAGGAGAACAGACAGGTAAGGTGCGGGTACCCAGGGTCTTGTTCCTCGCCTGCAGAGTGTCTGCAGCCATGCCAGGAGCCCAGACGCAGGGAAACCTGCGATCCCCGCAGCATGCCACTTCGGGAGTGCGTCCGCTCGTCTGTCGGTCTTTGTCTGTCTGTGCCTGCGTCTGTCTAGGTGTCTTTGTTTCTTCATGTAACTGTCGGGCGCGAGGTGGAGGGTTCTTCTCCCCTGTCACTGCATATGTTGCTGATCTGGCCCCAGCCGGGAGGAAATGAGGTGCGTCAGTCAATCATTCTGTCTTTGTCTCTGTCAGATTGGGGTTGGGGCGGGGGGGTGGGGGTCCTCCCAAACCTGAATTTGATCTTGGAGACATGTGTTAGGTGACATGAATGTGGAGGTGAAGAATTCAGAGGTGAGGAAGTGAGATCATGGGGACTGAAGCCCCAGAAAGAGGATCCAGCAGTTGGGACTGGCTAGTGAACTTTACCTTGCCAGTAGAACTTTGATGGTGCGTTGCGTCTCCCTAGAAGGTATAACAAGGAATAAGCTTGGACGCAGGGCTTCAGTTCTCTGCTTTTCCTCACTTACCATGGGGGGTCAGATCCCCTCCACCCAGGCAGCTCATTCTGCCCCAGCTTAACTCAGTAGCAACAGGCAACCCAAACACCCAGGGCCAGGTGATGCTTTCCTGCCTGCTCCAAGTGCAAGAGAGTAAACCCTGGGGCATGTGAATATTCTGCTCGCCCTTGGGTTGCCACGCCTGGGAAAGCGCTGCAGACCTCTTGGCTTCAGTCCTAAAGCACAAGGGATGTTCAGGAATCCAAGCGCCCTCGCTGCCCTCAGCCTTTCCGCATGCTCCTTGAGTTGCTGTTTGGCTAATAGGTTCTGGGCAGCCCTCACAGGGGCTTCTCCACCAAAGGGCCCCCTCTCTTTCCTAGAAGCACAGTCTTCTGGAGTCTCAGGGCCCATCCACAGAGAGATGAGCTGCCTGCATGCAATTCTTCCATCATGCAGAACCTGGCTGCTGGAAGGGGCATTTGAGGGTTTGTAACCTGAGCTTCCTTCAAGTTCAAAAACAATTTCTGCAGGAAGGCAAAGGGAAAATGGAGGTGTTTGAGAGGTGGATGCACATGGGTATTAGACTTAGATTTTATAGGGGTAAGAGTGTTCAAGGTTGCCACAGAGCAGAGTGTGGGCAGGAGTCTGTGGGCAGAGAATACACCCTAATCAGGCATGGCCCACACCTTGTATTTATCCAGCCCTTTCTTCTGACTATTTTCTGTGCATCATAGACATTATCTCATTTGTTATCTCCTTTATCCTCACAGCATAACTACCAGGTTAGCATAAGATATGATTTACTCTGTGTCTGCCAGAGAAGAAACTGAGGCACCAAAAGGGAAGGGTGTTGTTCTTCCAGTCCCATTGCTAATGAACTTCAAAAAGCAAGCACTCACCTGCTAGAGGTGAGAAGAAAAGTATGTGAGAAAAGAAAGAAGAGTATCTTTCTAGGGGGTCTTTATGCAAGCTGAGGGTCAGACATTTGCTTTTGCAATTTTTTATATTAATATTTCTAGCAGTCTTGGTGTACTCTGCAGGGCAAATCTGCTTTAACAATTCAGTCTGTGCACTTTCGTGACTGAAGGAGATATTCTTGTCTGTCTATCTACCTCCAATGGTTGGCAGAAGCTGAGGTAGAAGAAGTGTGCTGGGTGGAGTGGGCTGGGTGTGCCAATACTCTGAGTGTGAGAGTGCATAATTGCCATGCAGTGTTAAGAAGCCAGATGTCTGCATGTATGGGTGAAGAAGTAGATGGGCTCTAACTGGATAAAAATGGCCTCTAATCCCGAAAACTTATTTTATGTCTTTGCACTTGTTTAACATTCATTTCACAAATTGTCATTGGATGCTACAAAATGCAAGGTCCTGGGACTTGGCCGTGAAGCTTAGGGATGAATATCATAGGCTGGAATTACAGTTTTGTTGGAAGACTGCTTGCTTACCATGCACAGGCTCCGGATTTGAGCCTTAGCACTACATAAAACTTCATATGATGGCACAGGTTGTAATCAAACCTTACCCAGGTGGAGATTGGAGGATCAGAAATTCAAGGCCAGTCTTGACCACATAGGAAGTTCAAGATCAACCTGGGCTACCTGAGACAATCTCAAACACAGGAAACAAAAAAACATACAACAGTAAATAAGGTAATGGAAAATAAGCTACTTTAAAACAACTTATAGTCAACTCATGTATGAACAATATTGCAACAAAGTTTAATACCATCTGCTGAGTGCCATCAGATATTACACCTTTATTTTAACCACAGGGACCTGCCACTGTAGGATAGTTCGACACCCATTTCCCTGGGTTCAGATTCCATACCTTCTTCTGAAATATTACTACAGCTGTTACCACATAGACCCACAGCTTCCCAAAAACTACAGAGCTTCTGAGGCAGAGGTCATACAGTAAATCCCAGCTCAGGGTGTAGTGTCTGGCTGCTTGGAACAGACTCTCAGTGTTTGTTTTAATAGAGTGTTAGGAAAGAGGCTGCCAGGGAGCTCTGGTTCCAGTGATAGATTTCTGCATGGACACACTTCCCTGATGTGACCCCTCACTTCCCTTGCTGTGTTATAAGGCCCTGCCTAGACAAGTGTGCTCCATCCCAGGCCTGGTCCTAGCAGTTTTTAGAAACAAGGAAACTCTTGCTTTACCTACTGTATGTGTTTGTCAACCCACAAAGTAGATGTGGCAGGAGAAGGTACTAGGCCTGATTTAGACCTGGGGTCTAGAGTTTGTCCCTTCAGAGCTTCAGGGCATATTGTTCTAGAACAAAGATAAGGGGATTAAAAAAAAAAAAAAAAAACTTTCCAACTAGCTCTTTGAATCTACCTTTGGATGGATCTCCTTGCTGCTACAGTCTAGACACTCTGAGGCTTCTCTGAGAGATGAGAACCAATTTGGCCATGCTTTATCCAAGTCCAAGACTAGAGCCACATATTCTTAGCATTGTTGCTCATCATGTCTCATATGGTGTTGTCCACATATGCTCTGATTTTAATGTTTTTTTGGAAGATCATTATTCCAGCTTGAAAACTTGCACTTCATTATTATTTATTTAAGATGTGTTTTGAGACAGGGTCTCATGTAGCCCAGGTGGGCCTGAAATAATTACATAGCTAAGAATGACCTTGAATATCTGTTCCTTTAATAGTTCTTAGATTATAGGCTTGTGCCACTACACCTGAATTCAGTGCTTGGGATCAAACCTAGGCCTACACGCATGTACTGAGCTATATTCCTAGCCCTTATTCCACTGGTTGTTAAATGCCTTGTCTATGTGAGGTGCTAGAGAAATGAATGATACTTTTGAAAAGGTGAACTAATTCCTGGAGGCTAAACTTGGTGATGATAACTAGAAAGAGAACCTAGTATTTATGAATTAGTGACAATCACACTGAAAATGGGACCACAACAGCAGTCTTAAGATTAAAGTGAACTGGAGAAGCCAGAGAGGAGGTGGTCAGGAGCTCAGCCTGGAAGATGCACCTAAATCGGATGTAAAGAGTAGGTAAGGCCAGTGTTCCATGTTGCAGTTGAGGGCTGGAAAGAACCCCCTAGGTGGGGGGAGAGACCCCAGGGGAGCGAACTAGGACCTCCCTATATAGGAGACAGCTGTGAAGCTCTTACTGGCTGAGAGGCCTCTGGCAGTAGGACCATGATACAAACCTGGTACGTGAGCTAGCTTGTTAGAGCCCACTCCCCATGGTGGGATGCCATGCTCAGTCTTAATGCATGGAAGAGGGGCCTGGCCCTGCCCCAACCTGTTGTGCCAGACTATGTTGACTTCTCATGGGAGCTCTTACCCTTGAGGAGGAGTGGACTGTGGGTGGGTCAGGGGGGTGGTGAGAAGGGTTGGATGGAGGTGAGGAGGGCAGGAGGAGAGGTGGGAAGGGGAACTGTGGTTGGAATGTACAATGAAATAATTTTTTCTTTAAAAAAATGGAAAACAAAAACCAGAACCCTCTGGGGACCGTGCCGCCTCCCTCCTGACAGAAGTGAATGAGAAGTGGGAAGTAACTGCAGTAGTTTGCAGCTTGGCCTCCAGAGTTACATTACTCCTTTAAGATTTAGGGGAGTGGGCAAGAGACCTTGGCTAAACTTAGGCCTGGCTGGGCTGGCCTCCCAGGCTCTTTAGTCATCTTCGTAGGCTGTGGCTTCTAGCTAGACTGCCACCTCCTTAGATAGTTCCAGAGTGGAGATTGGGAGGTCTTACCAATCAAGAAGTATGTAACTGTCTGGAAAGCAATTTATGTCAAGACTCTTTGAGTTCACTTTCTTTTCTTTAGATTTTTTTTAAGGACAGGATTTTATATAAGCCCCAAGTTGGCCTTGAACTGTCTATGGAGCCAAAGATAACCTTGAAACCCTGATCCTCCTAGGCCAGCCTCTCAGTGCTAGGGCTAGATAGAGTCCTATACCAGCACAGGCCCAGGTTTGCTTTGAATGGTTCCAGACTTCCCCCAACAGTTATTTCATAGTTTTGTTGTTGTTTTTTTTTTTTTTTTTTTTTTTTTTTTTTTTTTTTTTTGCATAGAAACTACACTTGAGCCAGGCAGTGGTGGTGCACATGCCTTTAATCCCAGCACTTCCGAGGCAGAGGCCTCCGAAGAGGTGGATCTTTGTGAGTTCGAGACCAGCCTGGTCTATAAGAGCTAGTTCCAGGACAGGCTCCAAAGTCACACAAGGAAACCCTGTATTGACAAACCAAAAAACAAACAAGCAAAAACCACATTTTAAAAGAGGACTTTCTGCTTCCTGTTACTATCATTAATAACCTTTCACTGACCTATGCAAAGTCAAGGAACTCACCCAGGATTTTCAATTGAGTGTTGAGCCCTAAACCCAACTGACTTGAGGCCTGGTTGCAGCATGGTTATAAAGATAGTGGGAGTAATTGATTTGTGTTTTTTCTCCTTGTCAGTGGAGGGAGTAGTGTGCTGGATGTA